CTGCAGAAAAGGAAAAAGTAGAGGAGGAAAAAGACATTTTTACTATAAATTATTCTTCTTTTTTTTTTAATCCATCCAAACAATGAATCATACTAAAGGAAGAAAACGTCTTCTGTGAAGCCGATACTGTAATATGCATTGCAAAGATCTAAAATTAGGAACAAAGAAACAAAGAGCTTTGTTTAAGGTAACATAATCACTGGTTGAGAACAGAATTGAAATTTTCGTGGTTCAAAACCCACATTCTACACATACAGTCATCTCCATTTTGAAATATACCGGAATCTTTGCTCTTCTCCAATTCACACAGCACTAACATATAACAAAATACTCTGGACAACTGTATAGACCAAAACCTAAGAAGCTCCAGAGATCCACAACAAATTAATTTTAATTAAGGTGCAATTTCCTTGCTTTAGAGGGAAATGGTTTTACAAAACCATTTTATTTTTCAGGTTTCCTGTTGACAAGCCCAAACACTTTTTTTTTTCCTCCCTAGGAAGATACTGGGACTTTAACAAAATTAGACTCATTTAGGATTTTTTTTGTTGTCGTTAAGTTAAAATGAAATAAAATCTCAAACAGCTTGTTCTATATGAGCTCACACAGGCAATGCAAAACGTAGGTCTCAGGGTACCCTGAATGTTTCTGGGATCAGGAGGATGTAAAGCCATCTTTCGTACCAAGTCCAACCACAGGTTACACTAATGTAATAGCCTCTCTCTAGATATGACCAGTAGCAGATACTTAAGGAATAGAAAAAAGCATACACTAATATTTTTTCAGAAGATTCTTCCAGGTTTGACAGGTGGATGACTCAAGCATCTTCTGCATCAAAGTGGTTTTATATATTCAGTAGCCCTTCACTCCAAAGAATTTCCCCAACTGCTTTCTGAACCAATGTGAACTTCTAGCATCTATAACATCCTACAAAACAACTAACATTTTTTTTAATGCCTTCTAGTCCTTGTCTTGGAAGACACTAGGAATAATCACTCTGCATTCGCCTTTTTCATGCCACTCATGATTTCATAGATCTCTATCATGTCATCTGCACTCCTACAGCCCTAATTTATTTGGCTGCTCCTCACAGGGAAATTGCATCTTTGTTGCTCCCCTCTGAATATTGTCCAGTTCATTTTTAAAAGGATAAGGAGGAGAAAAATGAGTGAAAAGGAGAGGGAGATGAAACTTGTGTGGCACACTGTATTCAAGATGCTGGAGGAACATGAATTTATATAAAAATATAAAGATATTTTCTTAAGTTCACTTACCTGAAGCACTACTGAACATTTGAGCAATAAGAAGATATTTTTATAAAGGTATTTATTATAAACTTATTCTTACATGGTAATATTCAATACACATATTGTATGGAAATGTAGGATTTTTTTTTTTTTTAGCATCTTCATCACTTAAAATTAGTGAACGAAGATTTCCATTGCTGACCGACTTGCCAACCTGGTTTCACAAGGCCTTTCTGCCACTCTTCTCAAACCATCCCTGCTTATGCTCCTGCTGAGTCGCTCTGCAGTGTCAACCCACACTGATTTGAGGGTATCACACACCTCGCTGCTGCTTTCTGCTCTGTGCGCAGTGACCATCTATTTCCACCTCCATTTCCAGTCTCTTGGTGTTGTTGATCCCGCAAGGAAACCGCATCTAAACGCAGTAGGGTTGCAGGCACTTGGACAAAAGTATTAGGAAAAGGGAGGACAACTCAAAAAGTTCCTTGCTTCCCTTCTCATTGACTCCTTTAGAAGCTGTCTCAACAACTTCTACCTCATCTCCGTGACGCCAACTGGAATTTCCAATCACTGTTGTGTTTCGAACCCTTTCAGTTCGCACAGCCTCACTCGGGTGCTACAGGCCCCACGGGTGCTTTGACTGGTCAGTCACCAGCACAACCTACAACCCACTCTCATCCTTGCTTTTAGTTCGCAGACATCTTGACTTTCTGACAAAGCCCATTCATACACAACTTGAATTTGCTCTTCTCACCAGTATGGTTCAAACTGCATCTTTCCTTTGTACTTCAGTAACTCACTGCCTTGATTTGGTATGATTATGTTAGCAAAGCTACATATTTTAGTTACCTTATTTCTAATGTTTTGCAACTTGTTCAGAGGTACATGCAGATTTCAGGTGACGTTTTCCAAAGTCTTGTTAAAATGGAACTTCACTTAAACTATCATTAAAATCTGTGGGTTTTTTTATTATTATTTTCACGCATTTATTTCCCGTTGTTTATTGGAGTACACAGGCTTGAAGGCTTCTCATGGATTCTTCATTACAGAAACAGATAAGAGAAAACCTGAACACTGTGTCTTTTCACACCTGCCAGCCTACTATTTTCTCCAATTTAAAAATATATTATCCTACGATGTTTTTAAAAGTACTAGCAATCTGATTCAAGGTGGAGTTTTTTGTTTGTTTTAAGAAAAAAACCTTAAATCCTTTCTGAATAGCTTCCTTTATTTCAAAAACCTTTCCAGATTCTAGAACCTGTCTGATTTCACCATTTCTGCAGCCACATAATATCTGCAATACTATCCCCTTACTGCCATACCCAAGAAAACTCTTCCAGTTTCTCATGCACATTTGCAGGCAGACAAAAAAAGAAGAAAAAAAAAAGTATAAAAATTTCCAAGGTATGCATTAAGAAAAACAGCTAGTCTTCATTTCATCAGGCTTTTAGTATCTAAGCTAGTCACCCTATCATTTCTTTAGAGTAAATGGAGGAAGAAAAAAGCATCTCCAAAAAACAACTCACTTAACAGATTCCAGAATGAGACAAATCATGGTCTGAGGCTCCTTTAACAAAATAAGGAGACATTTAATATCTGAGCAAAGGTTGAGAAATAGTTGTCCCCGTTTGCCATGTTTAAGTGTTCTTGTTCTGCATACTAACAACTTAAATCACCATATATGTAGTTCTGCAAAGTGAGAAAATTCCCGAATACATAAATCTTCCACGAAGGTAATTTTGGTCTGCTGCAACCAGCAGTCCTAGTACCGTTCTCCTTGTCACAAATTATTTATCACAAATATTTTTGTTATTTTGCATTAGAAAGATGCAGGTTGCTGTACCAAGATTGTGCTACTTCATAAGCAGATGCTTTATCATTAAAAGTCCTAATTTTGGATGTGACCCAAGGTCTTCTAAAATCGGTGGATTCAAAGGAGCCTCAAGTCAAAAAGCTGGTCTCTAGCTTTGATTTTGCATATGCACTGAAGATTTTTTTAAGGTTTTTTTTTTTTTACATTGTCTTGCATTTTTCAAATAATTCACCAAATTTATTAAACTTTTTATTACATAAAAAGTTACTGAGGAAAAGAATTTGAGTTCTTCAGACACCAAGTACTTCCACGATACCAGAATATCTTGGTACATATAAGAACCGCTGTGAGGGAAAACACCAAAACATTTTTGGAGAGATAATGAAATGTCACGTGTCAGCCATTAGCTTCATTCTTAGAGACCAAGATATGCCTACATGGAAAGCTGTTTATGCCGTGTTTACTTATTATGTGGCACCTCTATCTTCCTATGAAACATCTGGCCACAGGACTTTAAATTACACAGCAGACGGGGGGAGGAGGGAGAACCGGACCCACGCAGCCCATTACAGAAACCCTTCTGCTTGAGGGCTGCAACGATGAAGACGCTTTGTGCACAAAGGAGAACGTTTGCGACCCAAAACATACGAAATGACTACATTTGAACTTGGAGGTAATTTATTACACCACAAAGCGTGAAACCTGCCAGACAGCAAGGTATTTGGTTAGGGAATGCAAGTGCAACTGGAAAAGCAAAGCCTGGAATGGGAGCAGCACCACGGCTTCAGCTGAGCAGAACACTCAAAAGTAGACAACCACGCTAATAACGCTCGATAAAAGTAACTATGTTTGGTTTCTGCCACCTGTTGGCATTTTTTGGCTAATGATTAAGAATCGAAGCACTACGGCACTTGCAAGGTACTGCTCTATTTTGTTACACGCAGTGCGTAAAGGCAAACCACCGTGGAACAAGCACATTGGCAGCAAGTTTCTTTATGCAGTCATTTCAGTCCTATTTAGTCACTGTTGAAGAAAGAGATGGGAACTTTGCTGGTCACAAAGTACAGGAGATGAAAAAAAGAATGAAAGAATCTGCCTAGAATAAAAGTAATGGCTTATTCTACGATTAAAAATAGGCATTCTGATCACACAGCTCACTATTATTGTTTCTGTTATTTAACAGTTGAAGGACAAATTATCAAAACACAAAACTTCATGAAGAAGTTTATTTCTAGATAAATTATATTTAAAAATGGACTTCTTACCTGTGAAGTCACTTGTATTAAAAAACAAACAAGCAACAGTGTCTGTGACATAGAAACCAACTACATGTCCCTTCAATTCATACAGAAAATATAATTTGCCTAGACTTCCTACCAGTTATAATTAACATTAAAGCGGTCCTTTCTTCTTTGTCACCTCTCTATTCAGGGCTTATTTGCGTTTGTTTGTACTTACTATCTGTTAATTTCTCTTAACAAACGACAACAATAACTGTTGCTATTATGCATGGAAATTAAACATGTAGATAACTGTGTGAAGGGAGCTATTTTGGGAAAAGAAAGGCACTATCAGAAACATGTAGCTCTTTGTGCCTCTTGTTTTCCTTTGATAATTAAGCTATGGTCTTGATTTGTTTTAAATAAAAAACTTTTCCGTGGACATGCATGCTGCAATCAAACTCAACATACACACTGTGCTCAGATTCAGTTTGTTCAAGGGCAGTATTGTTAACCCTTGTTTGATCCATGCTATTGTCTTCACTGGCCAAACAAAAGCAAGCCTTCATTTTCCCAGCAGCTATCACCGAGTCTTTTAAATTAATTTGCAACAGATCAAACAAAATCATAATGGGACATCTTCCATTTTGTTATAATTGCTGTCTGCAATATTGTGGAAAATGAAATTAAAGTTGACTTAAAAAAAAAAAGAAAAAAAAA